TCCATGAGGAGGCTGGCTCACTTCCTCGTCTTCTGAGTCGGTAGACCAAACTTCCGTGCTACCGAACTCATCACCTTGAACAGAACCCTGCACAATAAGAGCATTAATAGGCGGGTTAGCAGCAGACTTCTTCTTTCTCAACTCATCCAATCTTTTCTGTAACACGGCTTCCTCGTCTTTCCCATCATCTTTTTCAGCCAATTTCTTAAGGACACAGTCCTTAGCATAATGATTTTTCCCACCACAATAGAAACAGCTCACTCCAGAGTCGCCATCCACTTTCGGTTCCTTCTTGTGCTCTTCAGCTTTCGGTTCATTAATCACCTTTTCAGAGCTATAACTCCCCTGCCAGTTTCGGTTTTTGTTGCTGGGGAATCTCTTATTTATGAACCTTTTGGGATTAGACACCATCAAGGCATAATCCTCTGATGTGAGATCATATTCTTCCAGGATGAGGTCTTCATCCTCCATAACAGCTTTACTTTTTGACAGGAGGGCCAACGAATCAAGACTGGAAACGACGTTCTTTTCTTGCACCACGATCTTCTCTTGAGACTTTAGAATTCCCACCAGTTTCGCTAAAGAGTATGATTTAAACTGCTCATGGGCTTTAACTGTGGAAACTACTACTCTCCATTCAGACCTTAGGCCATTCAGGAATGTAACCTTCTGTTCGATGAGCTTCCTTTCAATATCGTGTTTGATCATCTTGCTGAGAAGATGATTGAAGCGATCGAACGTCTGGGTCACAGATTCTTCAACCCCTTGCCTGAATTCTCCAAACTCAGATAGAAGCAAAGTTTGAATCGAATGTTCAAGATCTTCGTCTGTAGAATACAGTTCGCGAAGTCTATCCCAAACATCCTTTGCCGTCGTGCATGAGCTAACCAATCTGAATGTATCGGACTGAAGGGCGAACCGGATCAATCTTAATGCCTTGATATTACATTGGAACTTATCCTTTTCATCTTGTGCAATATCTTTCACGTCCTTTAGTAGATCATTGTATTCTTTTTGAGTCTTGATGATTCTGGACGTTGCAGAATGAGAAAACGGTCCATTGGTAATGGCTTCCTAAATCAGATACCCATTCTCCTCCGATCCAATAACATAGTCTTCGAAGTGATGTGCCCATACTTCATAGTCATGGGTGTATAAGATCGGAATCTTTGTCGTCGAACCAATGCTGTTGGAAATATTAATAAGGTTTGATTGTGTCGCTTCCATTATGATCGTAAAAACCTGTTCAAAGATTAGACTTATAATAAAGCAGATTAGGGCAAAGTAATAAATATCGAGATACGTCAATAAAGAGATGACGGCTCAATAAATATTAATGATTGCGGAAAAACCCTAATGGAAATCTTTTTCACAGAAAAGATGTGTATCAATTACACAGCCTCCTGCTCTGATACCAATTGATGTGATTAAACTTTCTTTTAATCTATGAAGATCGATTAGATCTTGAACAAGTAAGTAGACAATGACAATATGAACACAGTAAAAGAACAGGACAAGATTGAATCAAACGTGTCGAATGATTAAAACAAAATCCTCAGAAGAGCTCGATTAAGAACATCAACTGTAGAGGACTGGAAGGTTACAAGAACGATCAAAGAAACCTTTTGTCGTCTGGAAAAATCGTTATACTCAGATCTCTAAAAACCTTTACCTAATATGCATGCAAGCATTAGCTTATATACAAAGCATAAAAGACTCACGGTTGGACAGGCCCAAACCGGAATACAAAATAGTATAATTAGACGAGCCCAAAAGATGCAATCTATAAAACCCAACATATATATTGATTATATGATAACTAGGCTCGTTGTGTGTGTACAAGTCTCCACTTGTCACCTAGCATCTTATCCAACACTTCAATCCAATCCACTCACTACAGGTGAGTTCATACCCCATAATTAACCTTTTAAATGTTTTTAAATGTTTATAAATGATTTTATGGGGGGGGGGGGGGGGAATACAAGTAAAGTTATGATAGTTATTATCTCAATCACATGTGATTAATAACTATCAACAAGTGAATCTCTTACTTTCAAACTTTTTTATTAAACTGTTTTACTTTAAACTGTCTTGAAAACTCTTTTACATATCAAATGCTTTTATGAAACTTCTTTTATACTTTTATATTATAATTTACATGCTTAGATATGTATAGTTATATAAGTAATGTTTGAAGGACTTAGGAAGGCTAACCCACCTTATTTCCTTTTCACCGTTGGGATGTGGTCTGGTAGGATATCGGGTATCCGTCCGAAGGTCGTTTAACCATTAGTTATATATCATGTGTACATATATAGTCATAAAGGTTCCTCCATTCAATTCAATACCCTGAGTAGTAAGGGTATACTCCCATGTTTATACGTACCAGTTACATTACTGGTAAGCTACCATAGGGGTAGCACAGGAAGATACAATTACTATTACTAGAACAATGAAACATACAATGAGTCAGTTCATTCATGAGTCAGTACGAGTGGTACATACAGTACATTACTATACATACTAGATATAGAGATAACATACATTACAGCTAGCACACACAGAACATTACAGTACATACAAGCTAGACAGAGAAAGAGCACACTTACAGTTAGCACATTTATCACATGTACCTTCATGCAGTTATGTGAACCATTAAGCGGGTCATGGAACTTCCTGTCATGACCGTTTTTGTATCCCGAATCTCCTTAAATTGGGGAGTGTATGCGTTTGCGTATAGATCTATACTGGATTGACTATCCTACACCTTGCTGCTCGCTACAGTGGGATTTGCAAGTCTATGGGTGCCAAATGTCATTTCTTACGTCGTCTTACATCGTCGTTTTACTAGAGTCGGTAGCAGGATACAGGTAGATCAAATGTTACTTTGAACACATTTTGTTTTAAGGTAGTTAGTACAACGGTAGTCACTTATTACAAATACTGCGGTACTATAATATTTTCCCATAACATTCACTTCATGAATATTCACACGATGCACGGTAATGTAAAAACTATATTTTTGGTAAATGATAGTCAGAATTGGGAAAACACACACTCTAACAAGAGACACACGCACAGACACTAGAGGTCTTGGTAGAAGGCTACAGTTAGTAGGAAACATAGGGTTTTCTAGGAGAGTTCAAACATTTTACAAAACATTGTACAAAACATCTTACAAATGCTTTCATACAAACACAGACATTAATATACTTATGATCTCACTAGCTTTAAGCTGATACTCGTTTTCAAAATAACTTGTATTCTTAGGTCACCAATAGACAGGTACAGGTGCCAGGCTTTTGAGAAGATGGAGTTCGTGCGAGACTCGTCTTTTATTTTGATATGTATATTTTGGTGTCTATAAATTTGACAGAACACACATGTATGAAATTATATTATTAATGCAGTGGATGATGTTGTTGCTTGTTTATTATTATTCATTGTTGTGATACTGTACATGACGTTCTCCACCCCATAATGTTTCCGCCATTCATGGTTTTGGGGTGTGACATCTATCCTCCTAGGTTTTTGTTTTTACATTATGGTTCATTTAGTTTTGCATTTAGCTGATGAAGCTATTTCCAAAGGCCCAGTATGAATGAGATGGATGTATCCCTTCGAAAGGTATATGAAAAAAACTAAAAAACAATGTTAGAAACAAGGCGAGGCTGGAATGTTCTATAGCTAAGGGTTATGTCACTGAAGAGGCATTATCATTTTGTTTGGTGTACCTTGAAAATGTTGAGACTTGATTCAATTGTCTCGAAAGAAACAAAGATGTTGTCATAGAAGAAACAAAGTTATGGGTGTTTCATTCTAAGTGTCGACTAGCTAGTGCAAAGAAAATGAAAAATCTCAGTTTAGAGGAGAGAAAATGTCTACATTGATTTGTGCTTGATAGTTGTGAGGAAGTCAGAAAGTATATTGTGTAAGTGTTCTTATCTTTTAATTCATTATCTATTATGAATTTCTTCTTTTTTACTATATTTATATATATTTTTCATCAATGTAGTGAATTCAAATCATTATATCCCAAAAGTGATGAAAAAACCAAATTCCATAAATGGTTCCTTCATAAGGTCTATGATATGCAAAACAAAAATCTCCAGAGTTTAATAAGGAATTATCGGCTCTTTCAATCAGTGTGCATGCGAATGCCTTTACTTACACCACTTGCATAGTGAATGGTGTTAGGTTTATGGTACTTATGCGTGACACCCAACAATCAACACAAAACTTGGCGGTTCTAACTGAGGGAGAGAATAAGCAGAAATATTATGGTCATCTAGAAGAGATTATCGATTTGCATTATCCTCATAAATATTCCACCATACTCTTTCGTTGCAAGTGGTTCGATACTGCAGGAGTTAAATCTAATAATAATTTCACTAGTATCGACCCACAACGCGAATTGAGCAGCGAAGATCAACTCATATTTGCTATGCAGGCCAAGAAAGTATTTTACATCCAAGAACCTTCTCGAAGTGACGAAAATGACATCCAACGATGGGTTGTTGAAAATGTTAATCATGGAAGAATTTAGGATCTACCGATGAACGATGTTGACCATGATCCCATTGAGAATGTCGACAATGATTCAACTGATGTCGTTCTTAGTAATGCTTTCTCTAATTTCACTCTCTCAATCAACTTTAGCCGGTACTTTCAAACTTCTCAATCGGTTGAAGATGATATTATAGTTGGGCCACCAATATGTATCATCAATAATGTGTCTGATTGCGAGACTGATTATGATGAGGAAGATTCTGATTATGATAGTGATGTGTCAGCAGACACTGAAGAGTTTGAGGACGATAATGATTAAAAAAATCTTTACATTTGACTAGTAAAATAAGGTTTGTATTTGTTGTAATCATATCATATCATATTTTATATATATATATATATATATATATATATATATATATATATATATATTCATATTGTGTTATAATTTTTCAGGATGTCATTTTTTTTGGATTGCATTGCTCCATTTCATGGTTGTTGTGATGGGTCGTGTAGGCGACAGTGGTGACGAGCCACCACATCCGTTCGGTGGAGGTTTTGGTGATCACCAGAACGATGGTAATTAAGATTTATTCTAATTCATTTTATTTCATATTGTTTGTATATAAAAAATTATTTTGACTAATAGTTTTTTATGCAATGGTGCCTCAGAGACGAAGAGGCATGGCGGTAAATAAAAAAACCCACAAACTATTTAAAGTTAATGGTGAACGGCCTCTGAAGATAGTATTTGACATAAATACTAACATGTCTATTAGGGAGGTGTATGAATGTTTCATTCGGGAGGTTGGGAGCTATATGTGGTGGGACATCGGTTTTGATAAGGACATTGGACTGATGTTTCTGAAGCCAAAAGGGTTGGCATTTTCCAATATCTTTCGGTAAATTATTTATAAAGTTATATATTTAATATTGTTTAATTTGATTATTTTTTAACTTCTCTATTTCTTTTTTGTAGACATGATTTATTTTGGAGCGATTACAAATCATCCCATGGCTCCAACTTATTGGGTGTCACTGAACAATCGGATATGTACGTGGTATAGAGGCCACAAAAATATTGTAAAAAACCGTTTGATTGATTTTGTAGGGGAAGTGGAGGCTGCAAGGGTTCAAGCCCCTACGAGTATGGATCAGCAGCATTGGAATGCTACTATTGACCATTTCTTAACAGAAAAACATCAAACACGATCTGTTGGAAACAAAGAATGCCGGAAGAAGCAAGTAGTGAAGAATCATGGAGGGACGTGCAACTATGGTAGTGCTTGTTTCACGAAAGTAATTTATAATAATGCTTATTCAGTTATACCATATTTTTTAGTGTTTATTCAAATATAACATATTTTGTAATGTTGAACAGAATTTGAATAGACTTGAAGTATTTCATCGTGCGCATGTGAATAAAAAAGGGGAATTTGTTGATCCTTTGGTTGAAGACCAATATGTAAGTTATTATTACTTCAAATTCTCGTAGTAGATTGTTTTAAAGTATATTAACAATCTTTTGAATTATAGAATGCCTTAGTTGCTGAGGTTGCTCTACAAACTCATCATATAGCCGACTCTGGTTGTGATCAAGACGCTATTGATTGGATCACAATATTTGAGAAGGTGTTGGGTACACAAAGGGGGCATGTGAGAGGCATTGTGCCTAAATCTTCTTCAGCTGTGAGTATAAGTGCTCCATCCAATGACATTCACAGTCACAAGCACCGTAACTAACACAGGTACTTGTGACTTAAATTGTTAACGACTTAATTTTTTTTAGAATGACGGAAATATCATAAAAGCTAGCAAGGAGCTAGAAAAAGAAAGCCATTACATCAAAGTTGTAGCAGATGTAGGGTTGTGAAGCCAAGAACTCCAACATAACTTAGCTTTACAACACCTACTAGAAATCCATAAAAAAGCCATATAAATAACATCATAAAAATAAACGATTTTTTAGGTGTGGTTGTTCCAAAAATAGTTGAATTCTTGAAATTCCAAATGCACCAAAAGCAAGTTATAACCACTGCATTGAAAGCATTTCGGTGGCCATCTCCCATAGAAACGGAGTCTGACCACATAATAAGAGAATGAACTGACATGTGATCTGGAATCTGTATCCCCCCACAAAAAGCAATACGCATCCAAATGTCACACAAATCAGAGCACCTAGAAAACAAATGCTCAATTGTCTCCACCTACACGAACAAATAGGACAAAGAATCGAGTCTAATAAAATTCCCCTATAAGAAAGTCTCTCTTGAGTAGGAATACATAGTAAATGAATCCTCCACAAAAGAACATTAACCTTGATAGGAACCCAGCTGTTCCACCGAGTCTCACCACCTCCTGCGTACAATAAGCTACCATTAATGAATCGTCCAGCTGATGCAACCAAGATGTTATAAGAAACATCAATAGTCCAAACTAACATATCAAGAATCGACTGCAACTGTAAAACATGAATGTGAGAAAGAATTCCATCACATTGTTCCTGCTCAACACCTCCTCTAGGACTACGTTAAAGTATCAGTCTCCCAACCCACATCCATTTGATTTTTTACAGTAGCATTTCTAAAAGTGTCTAAGGAAAACACTCTATGAAAAGTAGTTGCTAGATACGCCTCTCCATCCAAACATCATGCAAAAAAGAAGTATAACTCCCATCACCAACCTTGATAGGACATAAGGAACAAATATCAAGACCTCTATCCCGTAACAGAATGAACATACACATAACTCCAATCCAAGGATCTGTACCGACTATCCTATAGGGCAAAGACCTACGACCCGTATCAGGACCATATAAAGATCTGACCAAACGAGCCCACAATAGATTAGGAGAATGATATAATCTCCAACACCAACGAAACATCGTGGCCGTATTAATGGAGAATAAACTACCTACACCCAATCCACCCTCTTCTCTAATAGCTAGAACTTTGTCCCATCTGGCCCAGTGCATTCGTCTCATCCACATCTGCACCCCAAAAGAATTTAGCCCTCAGGGCCTCTAAGGAGGTAAGAACTGAGATGGGAACAAGAAAAATCGACATCAGTTAGCTCCCTAATGAACCCAAAATAGACTTCAGTAATGTAAGGTGACCGCCAAAAGAGAGGGTTTTGGCTTTCCAACCTGCCAATTTGGTCCACAACCAATCAAAAACATAAGACCAAGCAGAAACACGAGTCATAGTCTGACCAACTAGGACACCAAGATGGATAAAAAAGGAGATCAACCGCAGAACAACCAATAGTATCCGCCACAATAGAAACCTGGTTGTAAGAGATTCCAATACAAATCAATTTGCTTTTCTGCAAATTGATTTTAAGACCCGAAGCCATATAAAAACACCGAAGAATGCAAATAAGACGATTAACATTTTCAGGATCCCACACCGAAATAAGCATGACATCATCTGCATACATAAGATGTGAGATCTCAATCCCTGAAATAGTTACACCTCTGAAAACATTGGCCATCCGAGCTCACATTAAAGCTACGTGAAGCCCTTCCATCGCCAAAATGAAAAGAAAAGGTGATAAGGGGTCTCCTTGTCTGAGACCACGATGAATTTGAAATTCATCAGTAGGCGACCCATTGACCAAGATAGAAGCCCTAGCAGACATCAATAACTTTGTAATCCAACCACACCACTTAGAGCCAAACCCCATGATCTGCATTATCTCTAACAAATAATCCCACGAGAGAGAATCATATGCTTTTTCAAAGTCTACTTTGAAAATCAAGATAGGATTCCTAGAACCCTTGCTCCAAGCAACCACCTTGTTAAGAAGAAAAGGACCATCCATGATTTGTCTACCTTTAACAAAGGCAGATTGCTCTAAGCTAACCACACTATCAATAACCTCCACCAATCTATTAGCTAAAAGTTTACCAATAATTTTATATTGGCAACCAATAAGACTAATAGGTCTATAGTCGTTCGTGCACTTTGGATCTTTAATCTTCGGGATAAGACTAAAGAAAGAAGCATTATACCCCTTTGGAATAGAAGAATGATGAAAAAGTGCATGAAAAAAGCCTCAACATCATCTGCCATAAGATCCAAATATCTCTTGAGAAAGCCAAAAGTAAAACCATCCGGGCCTGGAGCTTTATTTGAACCACAATCCCAAACCGCTTTTTTAATCTCCTCTTGGGTGAAAGGAGACTGCAATAATCGAGTCTGAGAAGTAGATAAAGTACTAAAGTGCATGGCATCTATAGATGGATGCCTTCCCATATGCTGTGAAAAAAGAGACTTGTAGTAAGCATGAAACTCCCCCTTCACCCGAATAGGGTTATCAATCCAAGCTCCATCAATCATGTAACACCTGTGTTTCTGGGCTTGCCATTTTTAGCAATGTAATGGTCTAGGTTAACCTTTTTAACCCATTTTGAAATAATAAGATTGTATTATTTGAGTATTATGTGTTTTGTGCTTAATTGCTTAATTATGTGGTTTGATTAATTAAGAATAAAAATAAGCATCAAAATTTAAGTTTAAATTAAACTTGATATCTTTAGATAATGTTGTAGTAGTTGAAACAAGGTTTCCGGAGATATAAAGAATGCCGAAATCCGAGTTATAACGAGGAAGTTATGACCTGTCGAAGTTTCACGACAGAACCGGCAATGCTGGATAACGTAAAAAGTGAGATTTACGTTAAAATGATATTTAGCCTTAGTGATCTAAACGAGAATCGAAGATCTCGTTGTTAGTATCAAAGCGATAAAAAGTTAGGCGAGAACGGACGTCAAACGAAGAAGTTATGAATTTATAACGAAAGGTTTCTGTCCCGGCCTATTAAAAATAAATAATAAAAATAAAATCAAAATTAGCCGACGGAGTCTAAACGAAAGTTGTAGAGCGTAGTCTCACCTTTCCGTGGATATAAAGAACGTCGAAAACGGAGTTCGTATGAAGAAGATATGAATTTCCGAAGTTTGATAAATAATTTGTATTTATTTTTAAATCAAAAATCCGGCATTATCCGAAGGGGGGAGTCACAGATCTGATCTGAGGTACGCGCCGCGTACTCGAGTACGCCCCGCGTACAGCCAAAGTGTCGACACTTCGGATGACGCATGCAGTGACGCATTTCGGAAGTAGTACGCGCTGCGTACTGCTGTACGCCCCGCGTAAAATGAGGTTCCCACCCTCCTATAAATAGGATGCGAGGGCAGCCAGCCAAATTGCTAATTTCCTCTCGTTTTAGTGCCAAAGCTCTGCGTTTTTACCCCCGAAGCCATCCCGAAGCCCCGGTAATATTCCCGAGTCCCGAAGCGAGTCCCGAGATCCCGAAGATCCCAAGAAGTGCGGTTTCCGAGCCGAAGCTCTGCCCGCGAGAAGTTCGATTTTTTGTGGAGATCTTCCAGATCTGCTGAGGATTACTACTTCTGCAAGCCGTAGTGCTGTCCGATCATCTTCTGATCAAGTGAGTGTATACTACCTTTCATAAACGCAATAATAATACAAGTATGGTTCGAGGGTATTAAGTTTATTGTCGTTTATACGTGTGAATGCGTTGTTACTTTCTCATAACGTATAACTATGAAGTATTTTATACGAGATACGTGTTATGTGTATATTTTGTTGTTATGTGTGTGAATGTATATTCACTTTCTTCTATCTTACAGATATGATTATTTCTATATGAAATACGTGTTATGTGTGTGTGCCTCATCTGTTATATGGAAAATGTTTGATCAAGCATGCTATACAGGTTTTGAAAATATGTATAAAAATGTATGTTTTTATCTACTAATATGTTGGGTAGAACATGGGTAGATAGTTGGTGTGTAATAAACAGATGAGAGGCCTCGTTGTTGTTTGATCCAGTCATCTAGCGGAATTTAGATGACGACCACGGACTTTTCTAGATAGTCAGTGGAACGCTAGCAGGCTCATAACCTGTAGGTGTTAATGAACTTGGGTGTTCATTCGCTGTATTCCATCCCCCTCATGGTTGCCTTATTTGACTTATATTGCTGAGGAAACCCCGCAGCATGTGTTGTCACCCGATGAAAATATTCTTAGATTAGGTCCCTTGTGTTAGTTATTTTAGGGACGTAAAGTGAGAATAACGGGAATGGGTAACTGGGTTATTGTTGGTTGATAATAATTAATTTAATTATTTATTGTGGGTTGAAAACCCTATATGCTCACCAGGCTCCCAAGCCTGACCCACTCAGTTTTATTTGTATTACAGGAAGTGGCGCAAGGGCGTAAGATGGATGAACCATCAAGTTGTTTTGTTTACAAGTCTGCATATGTTTATATTTGTTATATGACTTGTAATGTATTCGTTTATGCTTATTGGTCTGTATCGGAACATGACACCCCGAGTTTTGATTATAATGAAAATACATTTCTTTTATGAAATGCTTTGGTAAACATTGTTTTATCATGTTTTGTTTTTGGGAACAAATTCCGCAACTCTTTCAAATCAAAAGGATTTACTCTGAAAATATTTAAAAGCATAAATGAAAATCGGTCTTTTCTGGCCGAGATTTTGGGGATGTCACAGTTGGTATCAGAGCATTAGTTTAAGCGAACTAGGAATTTTTAGGATTTCTAGACTTAAACTTAGAATGCTAAGTGGAATTTTGAGATGTGTGTCTGTTATGTTTTAGACACGAGCACTAGTTTATTTTAGGAAAGTTGCCTAAAATGCTTTATGTGCTAAATGTTGTATGTTGCCATATATGATATTATTTGTTCGGATCT